CCTCAGTCTTCATTTGTTCTAGAAAGAACATGGCTTCTGGACCATTCAGTTAAAAGGTTTGAATACTGCACAATCTGGTTTATGTGCATTAAGTATGGATGCTGGTTAACATTAACCTAACTTAAGCTCCCAAATACTTACGCCCTCCAAACTAACACCCAAATGCTAGGGTCTCTTTAACCTTTAGAAATAGGGGACTGTCATGGGGTGGAAGGGTGCAGAGAGGTATATCGAGGGCCTAAGGGCTCTGGGGGCCATAGGAGGGCCACTCGTTGAGTGCAGTGCTGGGTTATGGGGTCTTTAAAAGCGAAGTGGACGCCATTTCCCCCTCCATGGGTGTCCAGTGCAGTTTATAGAACTGGAGACTAAGACCTGTTGATTTCTTGTCAGAGTTCTGAGAAGGCGGTCCTCATCTTCAGGGCAGACACCCAGGACCAGGCAGAAACTTGATGCAGGCAGGTGACAGCTAGCAAAAGAGGATAAGGAGAGTTCTTCAGGGTATGGCGTATGACACCAGCAAAGCCATCTGGACAAGGCATGTGTCAATCAAATGCCTTAAGAAAAGACTTCATTCGTTTCAGGAACGTCCTCTGCATTTCCTCATTTTAAGGAGAAGAACTTGACTAAAATGGTTGATTCTGCTTTACTATAAGAAAAAAAGGTTTTCTTAAAGAACAGAGGCAAGAGCCAATTAGGAAGGTATTGCATGAATCCCAGTGTTAAGGGTCTGGGGAACATTGATGGCACTGGAAAGGCAAAGTGGTCAAATCTAACATTTGAAAGAGCCGAAAGAAATGTGGTTAGGTAGAACCTATTTTCAGGGGCTAGAAAAGTTACTTTTGCTTTCTTTCCTCTTATCAAAGCACTGCTACAGATAAACTGCTTTGAATTTCTAGTGTGATTAGAAAGTTAAAACACCACATACACACTCACACACACACATAACCTTTGCCTGGTTATTGAGGTGGTTTACAAAATGGTTTAGAAGCCCATGCTATGGTAATTTGTCACCGTGCTGACACATGAATTAGGAACGAGTGTGGTGGGACCTGTGAGAGACTATGCACAGACCCCAGGCTCACCCCACAGAGTGGCTCTCTTCCTTGCTTCTTGCCTTTTCCTGGGGAAACCATTTGCTAAAGTGTATTTGTTAATATGGAGGCTCAGAGGTCTGGGACAGAACTCCTTTGAGCCTACTGGTAGGTGATATTTATGTCCACCTGACCAGATTGGCACTTCCTAATCACTTCACCAATGGCAACTAGTGCAGTGGTTCTGAGTTCAGCCCCTGAGGCCACATTGCTTACCAGAGGTCTCTTGGCCCAGTTCTCAGTCACTGGCTGTGCATAGCTACTTACTCTTACTGCACCTCAGTTTCTGCATCTGAAAAATGGGATAACAAGAGTGCCTGCCTCACTGAGGTTTTTGTGAGTGTTAACGTGTGAATCCTTATAATGTTGTCTGGCACAGAGAAGGCACAACTCTTATGTGGCCGATGGGATGGTAAATGTGAAGGACTTATATTGACCTGTGATCCTCTCAAAGCTCAGGGCGAACTTGCTTATAATCTGGCACTAAGGGGATCAGTCAGGTTGGGGGTGTAGCTCAGTGATAAGTGCTTGCCTAGCATGTGTGAGGCCCTGGGTTTGGTACCCAGGACCACAAAAAAGAGGGGAGGTTATCCTAAGGTCGTGGGAGGGGAGAAGTGAGTGGTGTGAGGAGGGGCACAGGGATCCCCTGAGTTTTGCAGGTTCTCTCTCTTCCCTCTATTCCTATCTCTTGGCTCTCCTTCTTGCCAATATACCCTATCAGAAGAATTAATAAAAGCTAAGAAAAGAGATGCTAAATATGAGTTAAGAATACTAAGCCAGGTGTGGTGGTGCATGCCTGTAATGCCAGCGACTTGGGAGGCTGAGGCAGGAGGATCTTCAGTTCAAAGTCAGCCTCAAAAATTTAGCAAGGCGCTAACCAACTCAGTGAGACTCTGTCTCTAAATAAAGTACAAAAAAGGGCTGGGGTTGTGACTCGGTGGTTAAGCACCCCTGGATTCAATTCCCGGTACCAAAAGAAAAAAAAATTATCCATCTGCCAACACTTTGCAAATCAAATACACCAAATACCTGCACCCAAGGCAGCCTCTTAGGATCTCTGAATTAGACACACAGCAGCAAATTCTTGCAGGTGAATAGAAGGTTCCTAAAATGCCTAATTGCATAGGGCATTATTTTGGGCAGTCCTGAAAGAGAATTGAATTAAGACACTGGATGAAGCAGTCCCAAGATGTTTGTGCAACTTGGTAATGAAGTCCATTAGGTAGTGATTTTGTCTTTTGTAGAGGATATGGGTTATTTCCTGCAGCCCCCCTGGAAACAGGAAATGTGGAACTAGGTGAAAGATGGCTCAGAAGGTGTAGATGGGAATTGACAACATGTGGGTGACAGCTCCAAGGGCGTGAATGTGGGAGAGGAAGTGGGGGATTCTGTTTTGCGCAGAGGGCCTCTGTTAAAGATGAAGAGCAGGTAAATGGGCAAGGGATCCCAGAGGGGGTGGGGATGTCACTCAGATTGCACCTGTAGAGAGCAGTACTGTAACAGGGAAAAAAGCCAGGGGTAAGAGTGAAGCTATGTAATTTGCATTTTAAAAAATTTTAATTGTAGTAAAATTTACTGTATTAACTTTTTTTTTTGTACTGGGGATTGAACCTAGGGGTGCTTTACACTGAGCCATATCCCCAGTCTATTTTATTTTATTTTTTTAAAGAGAGAGAATTTTAATATTTATTTTTTAGTTTTTGGTGGACACAACATCTTTGTTTGTATGTGATGCTGAGGATCGAACCCGGGCCGCACGCATGCCAGGCGAGCACACTACCGCTTGAGCCACATCCCCAGCCCCCCCAGTCCATTTTCAATTATTTTTTTATTTTTGAGACAGGGCCTCTTCACTAAGTTGCTAAGGCTGGCTTTGAACTTGTGATCCTCGTGCCTCAGCTTCCCAAGCTGCTGGGATTACCGGTGTGTGCCATCATTCCTGGTGCTATACCACATTTGTTTATCCATTCATCCATGATGGACATTTGGATTGTTTCCACTTCTAAATTTGCATAACTTTTTCTTGGGAAAAATTTTAGTTCTTAAAAGGAGATAGCATCAGGTGTGGTGGTGCACACCTGTCTTCCAGGTAACTCCGGAGGCTGAAGTAGGAGGATCACAAGTTCAAAGCCAGCCTCAGCAATTTAGTGAGGCTCTAAGCAACTTGGTAAGATTCTGTCTTAAAATAAAATATAAAGGGGCTGGGGATGTGGCTCAGTGGTTAAATGCCCCTGGGTTCAATCCCTGGTACCAAAAAAAAAAAAAAAAATTAAAAAGGGCTGGGGATGTGGCTCAGTGGTAAGTCCCTTTGGAGCTAATCCCTGGCACCCCCACCTCCAAATAAAAATAAATAAATAAAAAGGAGAGCAATAAATTAGGTTGAGTTGCTTAGGATTACTAACATGAGGGTGGGGATAGGCAGGGCCATTAATGTGTTAAAAATATATTAAGTGTGAGACGGATGCTAGCCAGTAGCAAATTACAGAAAAAGATGGTATAGTTTGGCAAAGTGCTTTTGTTTCTGATAACCCTCTTATGCACATCATTGGTGTCTTGCTGCCTGCGTTGGGAGCATTTTAGAGGTCCTAAGGCTTCTATCAATTGTCTTTCTCTAAAGCCTTGCTGACACTTCTTAAGTGAACCTTAAGCTTATGTGCAGTTAATCTCTGCTGTACTTTATTTTGTCTCCAAAAAGACTGGGAGAGAAGACTATGTCATTTTGTTGAGATTCCCCCCCCCCCCACGCCTAGGGACATTGTATGGCACTTGAGCTCAACAAATCTGTCTGTAGGACCACTCATAACAACATGGTGTATTGTTATCTACTTCTGCTAGATGCTTTTGAGTGTGGTGCTAGGGATCAAACCCAGGCCTTGCAAATGCTTTAGGCAAGTGCTCTACCATTGAGCAGCACCCCAGCCCAGAAGCCAAATTTTAGGGTCAAAGGTAGCTATATATTTTTTAAAATAAGATCTCTTTTTTAAAAATATTTTTTTTAGTATTCAATGGACCTTTATTTTATTTTATTTATGTGTGGTGCTGAGACTCAAACCAAGTGCCTCACACATGCTAGGCAAGCCATGCTACCACTAAGCCACAGGATAAGTATGTTTTTAATGTGGGGTATAGACTAATGTGGCCAGTACCGTGTGAAAACACAGAAGTGAAATGTTGGAGAGAAAGCATTGGGCCAGATGTGCCAAGGCCTCTGCTCTAGAATTGACTGTGCTTTCCAGAAGGGCAGGATGGGGTAGGGGGAGGTTTGGGCAAGTCCTTTGCTTTCATTTTGTTCTTTTATAAGATGAGCCTTGTGGTGAGTGCACACAGAAGCAATGGTATGGAGGTTACTCGATTTTTCAGTCCTTCAGGCAGGTGTATTAAAGGAGGATCCATGGTTGATGTTCTAGGATCTTCCATGGTGGGCTCGTATCCTGGCATCGTACCAGGCTTCCCTGATGTAATGCAGTGGTGATGGTTTACTTAAGAACTGTTTCAGGGTTTTGAGGAGGGGTGAGGGGGCATGGGGGCAGGAAAGATGGTGGAATGAGATGGACGTCATTACCGTAGGTACATGTAGGACTGCACATATGGTAAGACATTACATCATGTATAACCAGAGAAATGAAAAAGTTGTGCTGCAGTTGTGTACTATAGTGAATCAAAATGCATCCTGCTGTCATATAAACCTAATTAAAATAAATAAATTAATTAAAAAGAACTGTTTTCAGGGTTTTGAATTAGCTAACACCATCTTCCACTAGAAGAGAAGAAAATCTAGATTCCTACTCGGAGTATGATCATTTGGGGGCTTCTGCTAGAGATCACAGAGGCTTCTTTCACACACGTGCCAATGAATGTGCTTCTGAAGCTGATTACACCAATGTTAATATCACTGTTGTATCTCTACAGGGAAACTTTATGGCAATGTTCCTTTTATAGAAGAAAGACACAGACATCGGTATGAGGTATGCCTTTCACACAGAATCGCTATGGAATGTGGATGCTTAGTGTGAGGGACCCCAGTGATTATAAGCAGGCCCTCTGGAGAAAGTTCCTAGCCCCACAGCATCCAGAGGGCCCAGGGAAGACATGCCAGATTTCCCAGAGCCTCTTGCTTTCAGATGAGGTGGGTGGGGGTAGGAGATTCTTCTCTCTTTGGCTTTCCAGAGGCAAAAGCTTTCAGTGTCTGCACATGGGCATATCAGGGTTCTTTGTTAACTCCAACCACCATCTTCCAGAGCAAGATAAGCCCTGCATTCCCCTTCTTTAACCCCTGCCCTTTATTTTCCAGGTTTGAGAAAATGGCAGTAGCTCCAAAGAGAGACCAAATGCCTCTTGGGATAGGGATGAGTTCCTACATATTATATGGTGGATTCTAGATTTAGGAACCTCTTTGGCAGCTTACATTGAGCTTGACGTTTAGTGTCACATGGTTAAGAGTGGTTAGGAGTTGAGATTGCCACATGAGAAGCACAGGTGCCCAGAACTGCAGATTGTCTGTACCAAAATTAATTAATATATCAATTATGATGCTTTTGGCTGTAATGAACAGAAATTAGTCATTCAAACAAGTCTAAACAATAAGGAAATTTATTATCTCAAGTAACAGGTAGTCCAGAGCCTGGGTAGATTCCAGGCATGGTATAGTCAGGGCTTCTGCCACCTCTGTGGTTTTCTTGGCCCTACCCTTTTCTGTGTGTCTGCTTTGCCCTCTGACTAGTCTCCCTCACAGTTGCAGAATGGCTGCCAGCAGCAACTGAGGTGACATGCAGTTTTTCTTCAGTCTGATTGGGTTACCTTGGTTTACTTTACCAGTCTGTGAATTAGTAACCATTTTAACCTTTTGGTGGGTTTAAATCTGGGTTTTGTTTGTTTGTTTTTTTGGTACTACGGATTGAACCCAGGGATGCTTAATCACTAAGCTGACAAGGTATTAGTTAAGTTGCGTAGGGTCTTGCTAAGTTGTCCAGTCTGGCCTTGAACTTGTGATCCTCCTGCCTCAGCCTCCTAAGTTGCTGGGATTATAGGAGTGCACAACTGCACCTGGCTTAAACCTGGGTTTTTGCAACATTCATCTACCAAGAGGGATTGGTTTATCTTATTTGGTTTAGACCAATTGAGGTCAACCTCTGAAGTGGGACAGACAGAGTTCCAAGTCCAAGGAAAAGAACAGTTTCAATCCTCAAACAAATTTATTCTTTGGAGAAAGATAGTTAAGTACACACCACTCAAGGAAGAAGCAAGTACAGGTTGTAACTAGCTAGTCTCAAAGTTCCAAGTCAGAATATCTGTGTCATAGTTCTACTTTTTTGAATCTCATCTTTGGGTGATAGAAGGTGGGCCTCCCACATTGAAGTGATGGGTTTAGACTTAATGTCTTAAGTTCATTATGAGTTTAAAATTAGGCTTTGGGTATTAAGTAGAGAAATTAAGTACTAGTTAGAGTGTCCCTGAAATGGAAAAATCCACATAAACAATAAAAGATTTTTTCACAAGCTCATATGTCTGTATTGCACTACAGCTCAAAAATACTTTCCTAGCTGGATATGGTAGTGCACACCTGTAATCCCAGGAGCTTCGGAGGCTGGGGCAGGAAGATCATGAGTTTAAAGGCAGCCTCAGCAAAAGCAAGGTGCTAAGCAACTCGGTCTCTAAATAAAATACAAAATAGGGCTGGGGATGTGGTTCAGTGGTCGAGTGCCCCTGAGTTCAATCCCCGATAGCAACAACAGCAATAACAATAAAACCAAACACAAAACCACTTACTTTCTTGTATTTCCAGGTGAACCCGAACCTGATCAACCATTTTGAGCAGAAAGACCTAAGTTTTGTTGGTCAGGATGTTGATGGGGAGAGGATGGAAATCATCGAACTGGCAAGTAAGTGAGCTCTTTGTTTTTGAAAAGCCTTGTGTCAACCACAGACTAATTTGAGATCTAGGTTTTTGCTCTTCCTATTCCTCTTGCCTTTGAAAGAAATATGAAATTATGGGGTGTAGGAAAAAACAGATGGCTTCTAGACCTCCATTTGGAGGTCTATTAGTCTGAATCTACTATAAAATAATGGCTTTTCCCAACTCTACCAGTTCTACAAGTAGTAGGCTTCTTTTCTCTCCTCATCTTCCTATTCTGAGGTTTCTCCTGTATGTCAGCCTCTAGGTTAGATGCTCTGCAGAAGGCAGACAGCTCGCTGTTAACTGACACTAAGCTTGTTTTCCTTCTTTGAGGATGAATGGCCACCTTGCCATTGGTGACTGCTGTTGATGTCTGTTGTGTGAAGAGCCTGGCTCCTCTCCTGTTCTTTCCCTTCTGCTCATGCTCAATGGTCAAGCTCGGGCCAGTCATTTTACTTCCAAACTTGAATCACTGCACCCAGACTTCTTTGTAAGACCAAAGAGAGCACAAAGGGATTGGATTTCTTTTTAAAAAAATTTTTAAATTTGTTTTAATTAGTTATACATGACAGTTGAATGCCTTTGTGCACTTTGATATATTATACACAGATAGGATATAATTTCTCATTTTTCTGAGTGTACATGTTGCAGAATCATATTGGTCATGTAGTCACAAATATGCATACAGTAATAATATCTGTTTCTTTTACTATGTTTCCTATCCCCACATCCCCTCCCCTGCCATCACTTCCTTCTACCTAACTTTAGGTAATGCTATTCTTCTCTAGTGCCTCCCCACCTATTGTGAATGAGCATCCACATATTAGAGAAAACATTCAGTCTTTGGTTTTGTGAGATTGGTTTATTTCACTTAGCATGATATTCTCCAACTCTAATCACTTACTAGCAAATGCCATGAGTTCACTATTCTTTAAAGCTGAGTAATATTCCATTGAGTATGAATTCCACATTTTCTTTACCCATTCATCTGTTGAGGAACACCTAGGTTGGTTCCATAGTCTAGCTATTGTGAATTGAGCTACTATAAACGTTGATGTGGCTGTGTCACTGTAGTATGCTGATTTTAAGTCCTTTGGGTCTAAACTGAGGAGTGGAATAGTTGGGTCAAATGGTGCTTCCATTTCAAGCTTTCTGAAGAATCTCCATACTGCTTTCCATAGTGGTTGCATCAATTTGCAGTCCCACAAGCAATGTATGAGTGTACGTTTTCCACCACATCCTCGCCAACATTTATTGTTGCCTGTATTCTTGATGATTGCCATTCTGACAGGAGTGAGATAAAATCTTGGAGTAGTTTTGATTTGCATTTCTCTAATTACTAGAGACCTTAAACACCTTTTCACATATTTGTTGATCAATTATATTTCTTCTGTGAAATGTCTGTTCAGTTCCTTAGCCCATTTATTGATTGGGTTATTTGTTTTTTTGGTATTAAGTTTTTTGAGTTCTTTATATATCCTAGAGAATAATGCTTTATTGGAGGTGCATGTGGTAAAGAATTTCTCTCCTCACATTATTGTTTCCTTTGCTGGGAAGAACCTTTTTAATTTGAATCCATCCAATTGAATGATGAATAGATAGTAGAAGAAATCAAGGATTAAATAAAAAATTCTTAGAGATAAATGAGAACACTGATACGACATATCAAAATCTCTGGGACACTATGAAGGCAGTACTAAGAGGAAACTTTATTGTATTGAGTGCATTCATTAAAAGAATAAAAAAAAACAACAAATAAGTGACCTAACACTACATCTAAAAGCCCTAGAAAAAGAAGAACAAATCAACACCAAAAGCAGTACAAGACAGGAAATAATTAAAATCAGGGCTGAAATTAATGAAATCAAAACAAAAGAAACAATTGAAAAAATTGACAAAACAAAAAGTTAGTTCTTTGAAAAAATAAATATGATAGATAAACCCCTGGCCATGTTAATGAAGAGAAAAAAAGAAAATTCAGATTACCAAAATAGAAGATGAAGAAGGAAATATCACAACGGACACATCTGAAATACAGAAGATAATTAGAAACTATTTTGAAAATTTATACTCTAATAAAATAGAAAATATCGAAGAAATTGACAAATTTCTAGAGACATATGACCTACCCAAACTGAATGAGGAGGTCATACATGATTTACTTTTATTTATTTATTTATTTATTTTTGCGTTGGTTATTTTTTTTAAAAAATTATTTATTTTTGTATTACAATTCTTAATACACCATTATACCATAATTTATCATATCTCTGAATATATATAAGGTATGTATAAGGTATATGAAAGGAGACCCTCATCATACATGATTTAAACAGATCAATTTCAAGTAATGAAATAGAAAATGCCATCAAAAGCCTACCAAGAAAAAACCAGGACCCGATGGATTATTAGCTGAGTTCTACAAGACTTTCAAAGAAAAATTAACACCAGTGCTCCTCAAAGTATATCATGAAATAGAACAGAGAACCCTTCCAAACTCATCCTGAAGCTAGTATCACCCTGCTACCAAAACCAGACAAAGACACATCAAGGAAAGAAAACTTCAGCCCAATATCCCTGATGAACATAGACACAAAAATTCTCAATAAAATTCTGGCAAATCACATATAAAAACATATTAAAAAGATAGTGCACCACAATCAAGTGAGAACCATCCCAGAGATGCAGGATTGGTTCAACATATGGAAATCAATAAATGTAATTCATCATATTAATAGAGTTAAAAACAAGAATCATATGATCATCTCAATCGATGCAGAAAAGGTATTTGACAAAATACAGCATATCTTCATGTTTAAAACACTAGAAAAACTAGGGATAGTAGGAATATACCTCAACATTGTAAAAGCTATATATGTTAAATCCAAGGCCAGCATCATTTTAAATGGAGAAAATTGAAAGCATTCCTGCTAAAAGCTGGAACAAGACAAGGATGTCCTCTTTCACCCCTTCTATTCAATATCATCCTTGAAATTCTAGCCAAGGATTGGATTTCTATTGTGGAAGAGCACTGAAATTGTTTGTTGCTGGGCTGGGCCACCCCTGAGAACACAGGCACAAAGCATTCATTTATTATTGATAAAACATTCAGGTCTTCAAGGACATGGTAAGCCCATGGTCACAGCTGGCCTCGGCTCTTTGACATTCGAGCCCACGTAGGCCAAATCCAGCCTGCTGACTATTTTGTGTGGCTAATGAGCTGAGAATGTTTTTTACATTTTTAATGGGCTAAAAGAAGAAATGGAAGAATAATATTTGTGACACATGAAAATTATATAATTATGTGGCATTCAATTTCAGTGCCCATAAATAGTTTTATTGGAGTATAGCATAGGGGCAGAAAGGTGTTACCTTTTCCTCACCCACTGTGAGGGTCATGGTGGACACTCCTCTGACAAAAGGTTAATGAGAGAAAAGCATAACAAATTTATTTAATGAAACTTGTACATGACATAGGAGCCTTCAGAAAGAAAGACCCGAGGGTCCAGGGAAAACTATCTACTTTTATGCTTAGGTTCAGTGATGCATGGACAGCTGTGTGCAAATTTGATTGGATAAAAGGTTTTGGTCTAAGGCCTTTCTTCAGATTCTTCTTGGCTTCTCTGTGTATCATTCCTTCTGAAGAGATGTAGGGCAGGATCCCTCTGGAATGAGAGTCTCAGACCTACTTTCACGCAAAGTAACAAGAGAGGCAGAGATTTTATGACCAGAAGGTCAGAGTAACCTTCTTGCTTCTGGGCCTGCCCCATCTCCTTCCATTCAGAGTACTTCCTGGTAGGGTTTTTTTTGAGTCTTGACAATAGCCAGCCACACTCCTTCTTAATGTTTTGTCTGCCAGTGGCAGAGATGAGCAATTGGGAAAGAGACCTTGTGGCTTGCACAACCTCAAATACTTATTATTTACTGATATATTTGCCAACCCCTGGTGTAGACCTGCCTGGGTGCACTTCATTTAGCACACTTGAATTCAACATTTTCAGGTGCCTCCTTGCCCCATTTGTCTATCTGGATGTTCTCTTGGCACTTCCATCTCAACTTATTTCAAACTAAATTCACACCCTCTCTGACTATTCCTGTGAAGGAGTCTTGTTGTCTGGAATTTCTTCTGCTGACCACCAGGGACTTTTGAAGCATGATCACCTTTGTTTCTGAGCTGTCCTGTGTGTTGTAGAGGATTTAACAGCATCCCTGGCCTCTAAAACTTGATGACAATAGTAGATCTCTTCCCCTCCCTCTTACTTATGACATTCTAAAATATATGCAGACATTGTTAAATATCCCTGGGAGGCACATTTACCCCTGGTTGGACCATTAGTTCTTCTTCCCCTTTACAAATTGTAATCAGTTGTTGAGTCCTGTAGGTCTGTCTCTGGAAAGAAAGATGTTTGAGATTGCATTTCCATTTGTGCCACCATAGTCCCAGTGCATGGTGACTCTGGCTCTGTGTCCTCAAGCCCCTCCCTGCCTCTAGTTTCTTTCCTCTCTCGTAACTCCTAATAAGGAGGACAAGGCTGTGACAGATGCAGTGCCTTTGACACTAATTTGTTGGAGCAACTTCTGTTATTTATTGAGTGCTAAGGATATATGGGATACTCTAAACATGGTAGCATGAGTTTACCTTTCAACCTCTATGCTCTAGGTCCCAAACTGTCTGTGTAACTTTGTTACTCCTTTCTCCATCTTAGCCCATGTCACTGTTCTCTACATCAAGTGCCTTTCTGTTCTTTGCCCTTTCTGTCTCTAATCTGTTCAAGTACTTCAGGATTTCCAGGAGGAGGGGAACTGATGTCAGAGAAGGCTCCTTTGAACATGGTAGCATTTTTCCTGGACCCTGGAAGAAGGAGAGCCATGCACTCATTACATGTTTGTTACTGGACTCTTTATTTACACATGCCTGTGTAATTTACAAAGCAGGGATGCTCGCCTCAGTTTATAGAGGAGGCTGGAGTGAAGAGAGGTTAAGTAATATGCCCACAGGCACTGGTGGGGCTGGAGTAAGACCAGGTCCTTGTCTCCACTGCCTCCACCTTCATCTTCATTCACTACTTAGCCTAAGATTATCAATCTCTGCCTAGAGTTTTTTTTTTTTTTTTGTACCAGGCATTGAACCCAGGGTCACTTAACCACTGAGCCACATCCCCAGCCCTTTTTAATTTTTTTTTTTTTTTAAATTTTGAGACAGGGTCTCACTAAGTTGCTTAGGGCCTTACTAAGTTGCTGAGGTTGCCTTTGAACTTGTGATCTTCCTGTCTCAGCCTCCCAAACTGGGATTATAGGTGTGCTGCCACCATGCCCAGCTCTGCCCAGAGTTTCGAGTTAGAATAGTAAGGATATATTCTAGGGATCTTTCTGATTAAAAATGCCCATCATTTAGAATTAAAGCATGGATCACTGTTTGGTGTGTGAGCCTCTTAAGTCCTTCTAGCATGTGAGAGGGCGGAGAATTTCTTAAATTACTCTTTGTTTACTTTGCTCAAGTACTCATTCTCTTTTAATTCACCGGGTTCCCATTATTGTCTGCAAATAATGAGAATCCTCTTTCATCATGAAGATTTAGATTCCCATCAATGCTTTCAAATTTCATGCAGGTTAGAAAGAAAATGAGAGCCACTGTAAAACCTTACGATTTTTAAAAACCGACTGCAAGGAAATTTATTTTATGAAGGAAGATTCCCCAGATGAAGCACATTCAGGGATCTCCACTGTCCTGAAAGGGTTCGAAGAACAACAATAAAGCTTGAGATTCTTACAATGTCAGAATTTGGCCGGGTGCAGTGGCGAACACCTGTAATCCTAGTGGCTTGGGAGGCTGAGACAGGAGATCATGAGTTCAAAACCAGCCTCAGCAAAGGCAAGGCACTAAGCAACTCAGTGAGACCCTGTCTCTAAATAAAATACAAAATAGGGCTAGGGTTGTGGCTCAGTGGTCAAGTGTCCCTGAGTTCTGGCCCAAGCACTATTACCACCCCCACAAAAGAATTTGGCTTAAAGCCAAAGTGGTGATTTTCTGTGCTGGGGATGGAGCCCAGGGCCTTGCTCATGCTAGGCAAGTGCTCTACCACTAAGCTACCTTCCACCTTGCAGCCCCTGAGAACATTATTTTAAAGCTACTTTATCTGACTGATAGAAGATCATCAAAATTTAAAACTTTTTAGTCTTTCCTCATATTGGTGTAGAGAATTTTTTGGATAGAGTGATTCAGAACAATGATTCATTCATTCAGATATTCTATCCCTGGCTTTGACATGATCCATTTCTCAGCTTCTATCTGTTAGTGCCACAAAAACACAATTACTGTCTGCTTTCTTTCCAAGACTATGCTATAAGATTTACCCTGACTTAAATTTAAAGCTACATTGCTTAATTTCTTCTCTAAGTGTGGATGATTTCTCTTCTTTTCTCAAAGGGATGAATTCCTGGGACAAGGAATGTACTATATACCAGACAAAATGTTCATACCTAAGTATCCTTCTAATTCAAGGAGGCTTCTTCTTACATACAGAGGATTTCTGCACTGGACTTTTCTGAGATCAAATTTGCTATGATAGAACTATTCTGCCCTGTTTAGTATGGTGGCTACTAGCCATATGTGGCTACAGAGCACTTGAAATGTGCTCGATTAATTCTAGTGAGTTCAAATAGCCACATGTTACTAGAAACTACCATTTTGTAGGCTAAATGATAACCTTAGGAAGTAGAAATTTTTTGTTCAATCATCATTTCCTTATTACTATACAGTACCTTTGGGTCTCTAGGGGTGACAGGAATTTGTGATTTTGATTCTATACCAGATTTTTAGACCACTTGATAAAACATCTTATTGAAAGCTTTGAAGTTATTTTATTTCCCCCATAAAGCATTTTATTTAATTATATTCAGCTTGATACATATAGCAATTATTTTTGAAATTTGGAAGTACAGCCTAATAACCATGCTCTATACTGTGATAATGATAGGATTAGAGAGAGATGCTCAATCTATGCTCCATGATCTAGGAGTACACATAGCTTTATAGAGTTGTGATTGGTGGTGGTGGTGGTGAGGAATATGGAATTTCTACCCAGATTTGGAAGTGTCACCCTTTTTAATTCTTTTTATTTTAAAACAAGATTCTGGATATCTGGGAAAAGCTACTTTTCTGTTCCTATTACCTGAGGGAGAATTTGAATTCCTCATATAGGGGGTTCTTATAACCTTTGATATGAAAATAGCTGAATTTTTCACATGCTCATCATGAAGGTTCACCCAATATAGAAACATATAAGGAAGAAGAAAAGAGCTTGAACTCTTGCCACCTTGATAGCTAGCTACTGTGAACATGTTGAAAGCCTATCTTTTCATCACTCAGAGACAAGTTGGCATAGACTGAAATATGAGTACCAATTCCATTTTATGGTGTTATGATTAATACCCAACAAAGCTATGACTAGAAAAGCAGTTGTCCTTGTTGTTTCCCAGGGGCAGACCACTGGGTCAGCATTGTGTGTGTTTATCCCTGGGGACCCTTCCCTCAGGGACAGAGAAGACTTTACAGGAAATGGCCTGAAGCCATCTCAGAAAAAGAATGATCCTGGGTTAGCCTGCAGTCTGAGGGATACCATGGAAACAGAGCCAACACAAGTCTGCAAAGGGCCTTCTAGAAGCAGGCTGACTTTGGGAATGTACAATTCATCATAGCACTCACAAACTAGCGCTTAGTTTTGCTAACACCTTCTACAGATAAAATCCTGAATTAAGTGAGATGTGCTTTATATTTCGAATTCTACTCCAGAAACGGATCATGAAAGTAACTGTGATGACAAGTTAAAAAATCATCTTAGCATTTAATGAGTTTTCTTATTCAAGGATATGAAGACCTTTCAAGCAGTTCTTAGATTTGTCTGCTTCAATCACATCCTGATTGCTCTCATTTCAGATCATCCTTATTTTGTCGGTGTCCAATTCCATCCTGAGTTTTCTTCTAGGCCAATGAAGCCTTCCCCTCCATACTTGGGGCTCTTACTTGCAGCAACTGGGAACCTGAATACCTACCTGCAACAGGGATGCAAACTGTCCTCCAGGTAACCAGCTCACTACTCCTAGCAATGACCCGAGATGTGCATTTATTAGCATCTTATGTTTCTAAAATTGAATATCATTGTAGCATTTTTTTAAAGGATCAGTTCTTCACCCTTAACAAATTTTTCTCTTCACAAAATAATTTAATCATGTTTACAGCAATAATGTGCTAGTTCTCCAGATCATGATGACACTGGGTATTGTTTCATATAATTTTTTTTCACTTTGATAAGTAAAAAATGACTTTCTTTTGTTGATCTTTGATTAATAATTATATATGAATATCATAGTTCTCTTGGCTCTTTGTTTTATGAAAAGATTTTCTGTTCTTTTGCTCCCTTTTCCCTTTTGTATTCTTTTTCATACTGACTGGTAACTTCTTTAGTTATAAGGAAAATTAATCCTTTGTTAGATTGTATGCAAATTTTTTTCAGAATGATTGTGCTTTTCTTCTGACTTGTTAATGGAAGTTTTCATCCTTCCTAAGGCATTTTGGATAAGGACTTTATGTAGTCTCTTTTTTTTTTTTTTTTTTTTTGGTGGAACCGGGGAATGAACCCAGGAATGCTTAACCACTGAGCCACATCCACAGCCCTTTATTTTAATTTTAATTTTTAAGATAGGGTCTCTTTAGAGCCTTGCTAAGTTGCTGAGGTTGCCTTTAAACTTGTGAGCCTCCTGAGACACTGAGATTATAAGCATACACCACTGCACCTGGTTTATGTATGTTTTGTAAAAACGTATGTAAAATTTTTTGTTTTTTTTTTTTTGTAGTGGGGATTGAACCCAGAGGTGCTATACCATTGAGCTACATCCCCAACCCTTTTTTATTTTTTAATTTTGAGACAGCATCTTGATAAGCTGCTGAGGCTGGCCTCCAATTTGGAATCCTCCTGCCTCACCCCCCACCAAGTCACTGGGATTACAAGCATGTGCCACCATGCCTAGCTATTTTATAAAAAATTATGTAGTCAAATTTTTTACTTTTCTGGATTCTACCTTTAGGATCATGCCTAAAGTCTTTTTCTATGCAAAGACTATTTAAATAATAACCAGGATATCTTCATCTTGCGCTATTATGGTTTTGATTTTTTGGTTTAAATCTATAATCTATATGGACTTTCTTTTTAGCACAGCATTTAAGGTAGGGATCTGGCTCCCCCTCAGCTCCCTATGAATTGTAAGTTGGGCAATTTGGTTTCATTGCAGAGATTTATCTTTTGTTCAATTGATGATTTTCTCTTTTATACCTGAACCTTCACTATTCTTTTCACTGTCAGAGCATTACTGTAAAGGAAGACCTCATGTACTCTACTCCTGTTGTTCAGTTTTTAAAAATGTATTTTGCTATTCTTCCAGATGAATTGTACAATGATTGTTAGATCAGGTTCAAGTAAAAACTCCTGAGGGATTTTCATGAGAACTTCATTATATTTAAATATCACTTTGGGGATAATTTATCTCTTTATTTCTTTTTATCCAAGAATAAAGTATGCCAAAAATTTAAAAGTGGAAGGAACTCAGAATATCAGAGATTAGGAAAGGTCATTTCCACAACAATCCTCTGTGCTGTTTAGAAGATTGCCATTGCCAGCCCTCTTCCTAGACAACAACTCTTGAGGGCTGCCTGGCTCTATGCATGGGTGTATGTGTGAGATTGTGTCACAAAAGCCTGCTTATTAATGCCATTCCTTGCTGGGAGAAGCTCACAGCTCTCTAGTATTTCCTTTAGCTGTGTATTTATATGGGAATGGTTTATATATTTTGCATGCTGTGCACCTTACTGAATTAACTATTGCTACTTGCATTCTTTCAAACTTTGCCCACAGAGCTGAAGTCTGGGCGTGGGGTGAAGGCACCCTGGGCACTTCCCTGCTTCAGCCAAGTGGCTCCACACTCTTTAAGCTCATATTGCTGTGGTTCTGCATGAGAGATTTCATATGAAGAAGACCTTCCTGGGTTGTCAGGATATACAGCTGATTCAGCAGATTGAAAATTCCAGGGTGGTTCGGTGTCGTATGTGTGCCGTGACCCTTCACAGCCAATCGTCTCTATTATTTCAGGTTCTCACACTTGAAAGGGGCGGGGGTGATAGTGGAGCGAAGTAGATAGCTGGGAGAAATTTTTCACTAATAACCATCTAATTGTTTGCAAGCATTAACTAATATCTGGATGTTGTCTGGTATGTGTGGGTTGCCCACCTGCGTGCTGTGTGTCCTGCCAATTCCTTCTTGGAGGTTCGCCGTCTTCAATGGAAGCTTCTTGGCAGTTTCTGCTCGCTAGTGACTCCTGAGCAGGATGCAATATGTCTTGGAGAATCAGAATTCCAGCTGATTGCAGACTTCCTTGGTTGTAAGAGAATTCCTACGAATCAGCTACAAACTGGCTCATTCCTTAGAGGCAACTGGCATCTTATTTATCTTTGTCTCCCTGGTTCCCTAGCACAAGGGATTGTTTATTACCCGTTAAAGTAGTAAATACAGGTGTCAGGAAAGGATGGATGTTGTCTAGTCTGGTCTTGACACATTGCAGGGGGTTTCCCAACTAAGAATGGTGACTGTGAATTAATCCAGAGACAGATACCAGGATGACTTCAGCTCCTCACTGCCCAGCTCCATGGGATTAGTGCACTTTGAAAAGCAAATAACTGCTTTGATGGCCAGACTCTAATGTGAGCTGAGTTGGAGCTGAATTTCTTTCAGACAAGATTAGTGCTTCTAATTGACCCTAGAACAAATGCTAGAATAATGACTTCCTTTCCCAGAAATTGGCTCTGATGATATTCAACTGTATGGCACATGGACAGCTGATATCTCTAAGATACAGAGTGTAAAAATCCTTGGCTTTCAGTAAGAATACCTGAGCTGTAACCTCTGCATTCTGTTTAGTGGAAGATATTTATCTTTGAGCACAAGGGATGTTGTAGTAAGAATATTTTGGAGGTATTTAGAGCTGGTGATTTAACTTGTCAACCATCCCATTATCTCCAGAAAGACAGCAGTTATGAAGACCAGTTCTGCTTGGTTTTAGATGGGTAGTGGTCTGGGCTCAAGGGCTCATGTCTGGTCTCAAGGATATGAAATTTTTAGGGTAGTATTTTTTTATGGGTTTTTTTTTTTTTGTGTGTGTGTGTGTGTGTGTGTGAGCTACTCAAAAGTATATGCAAAATCAAACTGAGAGTCTGGTTTTTAGGGTCTCCCAAGACCACTTGCACATTGATGATTCTCAAGAAGGAATCAGAATATAGTTGAACTCACAGCTAATATTTATTACAGTGACACAGTAAATATATACAGCAGGCTCAGTAAGGGAAAAGATGGAAGTGGAGTCTGGAAACATCCATTTGCAGGTTTCCAGTGCTTTCTCCCTTCTGTGATAAGTCACACAGAGTTCACCCTCCACCTAGCAGTGAATGCAACATGTGCATGATATTTCTGTCCAGAGAAGTTTGTCTGTCTTTAGGGATTTTGTTGAGGACTGATCACGTAGAGGTTCTCTACCTAGCAACCCCCCAAATTCCAGACTCCTAGAAGGACAACTGTGTTCACTATAAATCACATTGTTTGTACAAACAGCTTGGGCCCAGCAAAAGGATTTTAATCAGTTAGTAATGGAGCATACATTCTGAAAGGCACATGTACAGACACCAGCCAAGAACCAACCCTGTTGGCCTTTCTAAAGATGGCTGCCTCAGGCCTGCTATGCTGTCTTCTTTGTACAAGTATAACTTTAATTGTACTGAGACATAATACCTTTATTTTATTTATTTTTATGTGGTGCTGAGGATTGAATCTAGTGCCTCACACATGCTAGGCGAGAGCTCTTCCACTGAGCCACAACTCCAGTCTTACAAGTGTAACTTATTAATTACGGCATTAAACCTTTTTTTTTGGTGGGGGGTACCAGGGATTGAACCCAGCAGCACTCAACCACTGAGCTACATCCCCATTCCATTTTTTTTTTTTTTTAAAGATAGAGGTCTCACTAAGTTTCGAGGCTGGCTTTGAATATGCAATCTTCCTGCCTCAGCCTTCTGAGCTGCTGGGATTACAGGTGTGTGCCACTGTACCTGGTTAGAGCATTTTTAGAATGAATAAATCTATGGGAAATTGTGGTCCATTAAAGAAAGCTTCTAATTCTTTGGTGATGTCTCTCCTCTCGTGTCTAAGTATAATTTGTCCCATGTATAAAAGGGTGGTCTTGCTGGTATAGTGGAGGGAGACCGTCTCATGTAATTGTAAGAAAACAATTTAGCTAGTCTATGGTAGGAACTTAAATAGGAATGATGATGCTATTATTATTCTTTTACCTTAATTCCAATTTCCTTCATTGCCTGCCTACTGCATAGCCTCCTACCTGGTGTTATGCTTCCAGCTTTCCTCCTCCTAATCCCTCTTCTGCCCTCAAAATGATCTTCCCACATTATTTTGGAGCTTAAAACCCACCCTCAATGTCTTCCCTGGGCATATAGGATAAATCCATGTGAAACAGCTTGCAGTCCTCTGAACTCCCCAGAGGGTTTTAATGTCTTTGCCTCTTGGCTTTTGATATGTATTTCTGAACTGCTTAGTGAGCTGGGAAGACCAATCTATATCCTATCAGTATGTCAGCCCACGGGAATGGTTAAGGTGGGGCATGGAGGTAAGAGTAGCCCTCTGTTTTGGGCAGAGTGGTCATTTCTCCCTCTGAGGCATGCTTACTCCATTTGGGCTGAGTCAGAGTAAGATGCTGTTTTCCCCTGCGTGAATTGATATTCAATGTCCACCACCATTTCAGACTTGGAATCCTTTTGCTTTTTGACTTTTTTGGGCTGCAAGGTTGATGTTGCCTGGGGTTGTTATTACAATATATGGTGCAAATATTTTATTTCTGTGGGGACAGTATCAACACATAGAGCAAGTACTATGCATTTGGCTTCTGGCTGTATCACTTACTGGGAAATTTTGTCCAAGTTACCACTCTTTACTCTTAGGGCTGCTATGAGGAATAGTTGAGATGGTGCTTTATGAACCATTATCAAAATACTACTTTCTCCCCTTTTTGTATTTCAAGCATAAAGGAATTGAAAATTAGAAAAAAAGAGCTTGCTTCTTTTTTGCTATCTTTTTTTAACATTTATTTTTTAGTTTTGGGTGGAAACAATATCTTTATTTTTTATGTGGTGCTGAGGATAGAACCCAGTGCATCACACATGCTAGGTGAGCACTCTACCACTGATCCACAACCCCAGTCCTTTTTTGCTATCTTTTGAGCAGCTGTTTTAAACATTTTAAATCTGTTTCCCTGCTCTGGGACTAACTTCAACTCCATGCCTGGAGATCCTTTTTTTCTGATAAATTATTATTAAAGAAATCACATTTGAGTGCACCTTACCTTGGGGGTTATATACGGGCTAAAAAAGACGTTCTTTATTGATGTTGATTAACTCTAGTGTTGATGATGTGGGGCCAGCCAGAGTGGAGTTCAAAGTAATACAGGATTCTGTGCTTTTAATGCCCTGCCTGGGTCGATTCTACTGTTTACTATGAAATGCAAAACTCATTCAAAGCATACTAAGATTTTATTCCATTGCTCTTATATTTTATGGCTTCCAGGGGCCCTTTGAGAAGGAAGTAAGTATAGCAGTAACAATGCTTTGGGGAAAACTGTGTGCATGGCAACGTGTTTTAAGACATGCTTTTTCACATGAAATGGATTCTGATAGAAAGTATTGTAGGAACTCATGCATGCTGGGAATCCTAACTATGCCATTAAAATATTTTAAATTCCAACCACCTCCTTCCGTTAATGAAGAAGTGATTTAATGGTTGCCTTGAGGTTGCACAAAAGGTGGGTTATATGAGGCATTACTATACCCTTTCTCTGGAGCCTTGGAATATGTTTTCTTATAATGGGAATTTATTAGGAGCCAGGACAGATACGCTTAACTATGACAAGCCTTTTGTCTCTCAACCACATGGAGACCATTGTGGTCAAGTTTTTAAAGTCAGGCTAGTGTCATGAGGATAGGGATTCCCATGAGTTGCTGCTGCTGATTTTCATTTTGTCTTGAAGAAATGGTCCTGTGAGATACTTTCTTAAAAGAAGAGTTTCTACTATTTGGGGAGGGCACATGTATGCATGAGAGATATTTGCTGTGATTTTTAATTAACTATAGGTATCCAGACCTTTAAAAACACTGAGGACCATTGCATGTTGATTGTAGTTTGTTTTTAAAAATCTCATTATTCATTTCTTTGTAAATCAGCACTATCCATTAAAACTTTCTGGAATGATGGAAATGCTTAATAAACGGCATTATTAAATATTGCCATCACTAGCCACACCTGGCTATCGAGCAATTGAATAGTGCAAATGAGGAATGGAATTTTTAATATTATTTGATCTAAATTTAGATAGCCACTGTGGCTTGTAGCTACTATATTAAACAGTTCAGGTTTAAAACCTTCCCCTTCTCAAAGGTAACAAGGCACACTGAATGTGTCTGTACTTTGTGGTACTTCATAGAATTTAAATCTAATATCTAATAATTCTTCCCATTGAGAAGCTCTCTCTCTCTGTGTATGGAGATTACTCAAAAAGATAGGTTAGTTTTAAGATGGAGCTGATGTATATTAAGTGAAAATTCGCCCAGATAAATCTAGCTTATGACTTCTTTTAGTTTGTTCTGTGTGCCTCATGCATGCCAGGCAAATGCTCTGCCATTGAGCTACAGAACAGTAGTTCTGTTCTTGAGTGTCATGGCTTATCTCTCAACCTATACAAAAGAAAATTGGTGAACCCAGTCATTAGCATTGCAGATGCATAAACTCAAGCTAAGCCTCATTTTGTCATATCAATTTGGGCCATTTCGATGTATTAGCAGAGTTCTACCCTTTGGATAGAATCGAGAGCCAGTAGATTCGAAACAGACCCACATAAGTCCACTGGCTAATGTGGGTAGAGAATTCCACTTGGTACCAGAAACAATTCTGAAAAACATGCACTTAACAGTTTTCAACTGATCCTTTATATTTTACGAGTTTTGCAGGAGATATCAGTATGAATATGTAATCCTCATAAATAGTAACAACATATTTTTATGTAACTTTCAGAGCAAGTTTATGTATATTCTGTTTTGGCCCTCATAACATTGTGGTGAAGTTGTTATTTATTATTGCCATGTTTTCTTGGGTCTCAGGAGTCAAGTGACCTTGTCCAAAGATACATGGTTAATATATAATATTTATTTATGTAAATAAACAAACACTATTAATATGTGAGGGGGAATATGAGAGGGCTTAGAAATAGGGAAGGAAGTGTGTGTATCATGTGATACCTGAGGAAATGGAGGTCCCTTGGTCCTTGGCCCCTTCTCACTTGTAGTGTCAGGTGACATGCCCTGGTGGGCTTGACTGCCCCATTGCAGCCCAACTTAGAGATGAACTTGTGGCCTGGGTTAGTATGATGGGAATTCTAGCCCCATCTCAAACAAGTTGTGTGAACACCCTTGACTTTCATTTCTTCTCCTATAGGGAGTTGAGTACAACTTCTGAATTCCCTCCCTTTGCTAATTCTCTGACAACAAAATGAAGCATGGAACCAGCAAGGATTGAGCATTTGAGTAGGGAGAGGTTATATCCAATTTTTGACCAGGTTTTTAAAGAATATTTATTTTTTTAATCTGTTTTTTTTTTCCTTTTAAATGATTATTTCTGTGTGACAGAAATGATTTTTCCTGAACTAAAGTCTAACTAGTGAATTTAAGGATATATTTTTTATATGCTTATTTAACATATCGTGTTTTTTCTGCCAACAATTTCTTTTTGGTACTGGGGATTGAACCCAGGGGTTCTTTACCACTGAACTCCACATCCCCAGCACTTTTTACTTTTTATTTTGAGATAAGGTCTCACTAAGTTTCTCAGGCTGGCCTTGAATTTGAGATCTTTCTGCCTCAGCCTCCAGGGTAGCTAGGATTACAGGTGTGTGCCACCAACCCTGGTTTTTTCTATCTGTTCTTAATCTTTATCTCCTCTCCCTGCTATAGCGCCCCTGTACCTCTGCTGTTTGTCCAAAAGTCGGGGAGGACAGTGAGAAGGCAAACCAGAAAAGATATATGGTCTTTTATGATTTGGTTTATCTATTTATTGATATTCACTCAATAGGTAGAGAATAAACTCTTTGTTTTCTAGCCCTTCAGCACAGAGTTTCTCCAACTGTTTCATTTAAGAAAAAGGCAGGTGGTGGTGGTGATTTCACCTGTTATGAAATTCAGACATTGTTACTAGTCAGCAAAAGCTTGGCCAAGGTTAGGGATGGGTCACGCATGGAACGCTCCCTGGCAGGTGTGTCTCCACAGATCAGTAGAACTCTAGTGCAGTTCATCGATGTGCTGATTTATTTTTTAAACCAAGCAAAAGGAAACCCAAACAGAGCCCATGGCTCAGAGCAAAAGTTCAATTGCAGAGGTAACTGACGGTGAAGATGTATTTCTAAGGGAACCCAGCATGGTGACAGGTGTCAATAACTGGTCCTATTCTGAAGGCTATATATGACTCAAAACCTAGGATTAATGAGAATGTTTGTTGGAATGGAAAACTTTCATGCTGCTGACATATAAATCACTGTGAAAATATGATCTGAAGTGGATAAGATTTCAAGGTGAGTTTGCACTGCTGGTGTTCCCTGGGTCTTGAGCCAACATGCATGTCTAGTCCTAATGACCACCAAGTTCAAGCTCCCTGTGGAATGTGCTGACCATAGATGACAGGTTCCCATGTAATGAGGAGCTGCTGTTACCTCAAGCACAGAGGCAAGCAGAATTCTGTATCTAGGGAGGAGCCATAGTTCTTAAACAGAGGCAAAAGCCAACCTGCAGCTGACTAACAGAATCAGGGACACACAGCTGTGTTTACTGTTCTCTAATCCTTTCACGTGGCCAGTGAGGAGGAAAAACCATCTTTTCCTCTAACCATCTTAGTTTCTGGCTGAGGCCCCTATAACAAAAGATAGATCAACAACAGAAAAGCACACACGTTTATTTGTGTTTGATGTGACATGGAGTCTTTATAAGGAAATGAAGACCCAAACAGATAAACACTAGTGTTTGTTTTTTTTCTTTTGGTACTGGGGATTGAACCCAGGGGCACTCGACCACTGAGCCACATCCCCAGCCCTTTTTTATATTTTATTTAGAGACAGGGTCTCGCTGAGTTACTTAGGGCCTTGCTAACTTGATGAGGCTGGCTTTGAACTTGCCATCCTCCTGCCTCAGCCTCCCCAGCCACTGAGATTACAGGCATGCACCACCGTGCTCAGCAACCCTAGTGTTTTCTGTAGCAGGTAATGAAGAGTAGGGAGTCATGGAGAAATAGAATAGAGCAATGAGTATAGTGTCATGGTAATGAACCAGGGGAAACTTAGCAAGGTCATTTTATTCAGATTATTTTTCTCTGTGTCTCAGTGTTTTCTGAGAGAAGAATACTCCTTTCCATTGGGTTTTAGGGAGAGTACCTCTCAACTGAGGTGGTTCTTATCTGCTTCAGGGCCAGAGGGCAGGGGAAGGTCCAAGAGACCTTCTAGCACATACTGTCTCTCAGCACCCTATGGCTTAATATTGTCACTCTGCTGAGGTGCTGTATTCTGGAGTAGTGTGTCCTGAACTTCCTTCATTGCCTAAAGAAACAGTTGTCATCAGAAGGGCATAAAGTGAAAGAGCTCTAAATAGCCATGTAATATTTTGTGCACTTGAGAAAATTGGTCAGTTGGAATAGGTCTAAATGTGGCTCAGACTCAGATGGACTGAGCTTTATTTAGCCCTTAGTTGGACAAGAGTAGATTCACAGAGAATAAAAGGGTGCATCAACTCAGGCTTTTATTTAAATCAGTTTACTAATAGAACACCTCCAGTAGACAGCAAACAATAGGTAAGGTTGGCAGGTGGGAAATCAAGGCTTTTGTTGAAATACACAAGTGATCGGTGGTCTTCAGAAAATTATAGATTTCAACTTAAATTGAAATGCTTTTCTAAATTTTCTGAAGAAGTAACTTCCAATTTTCAATGAAAGCACCCTATCAATTTCTCTGACCAAAGAAGTCAGCTGTTACTTGTGGTTGGACTGACCTCTTTCTGTAGTGACTAGAACGTGATAATAGAATATTTCCTAATATTTTCTCTGAGTAGAGGTTAATTATGGAACATGTTTGGAATGGAAAATTGAATTATTGCCCAGGTTTTTGTTTGTTTGTTTGTTTGTGTTTTATGTCTTGTTAAATTAGTTCCTCTTTTGATCTAGTGATAGATACAGCGATGCCAGTGATGACAGCTTTTCAGAGCCAAGGATAGCTGAGTTGGAAATCAGCTGAAGCTAATACATGACTTGGAATAACGGGGACTGCCTAAAAGGGTAAGATGGAATCTTTGAGCGTTTTTGTCTTATAAGCTTATGGGAGTGTTACAGGACTTGCGTCTCAGGATCCTTCTCCCTTGGGATGCTCCTATTTGACTGGTACAGTTAGTAGGATAGACTCAATCCAAATGGAATGCATCTGAGGTCAACAATTTACAGGTACACCTATAAATGGGTACCTGAAGGATGGAGGGTGTAGAGTTGTAAATGGTCTAGGTTTAGAGTTGACAGTTTTTTGTTTTTGTTTTTTTTTTCCTGTAAGGCCAGTCCAGATAGTAAGTCTCTTAGGATTTATGGATCTTATAGTCTCTGTTACAACTACTCAATTCTGCCATTGAAGTAGGAATCCATCCACAGGCAATACAGAAATAAATGCACATGGCTGTGTGCTAATAAAACTTTATTTACAAAAATCATTTTGCTGACTCCTAGTCAAGGCCACTCCTCCCAAAGCAGATTTTCTTGGATTTGTATAAAATAAAATAGGATTTTATTTCTTTGTAGGGAAGTGCCAGAGATAGGTTTGGTGTCCAAGGGCAGCTTATTTTCCCTGTGGCTCTATTATGCATTATGAGAAAGGATAGCTGCCAGGATAGCATTATTAAATTTATATTCAAAGGTGGACATGGTTTGGGAGTACCCTAGGGGTTATGGCTGGCCTCAAATTGGATAAGCTTCTCTTTAGTAGGGACAACAGCTTTTGGAAAACTTGTCACGAGTTTATTGTTCTAGTGTGAGCTCCCTTCATATTTGTATGAGGGGCGGACTATGAATGTTCACTGGGGGGAGGAAGCTAAACTGTATCCATTTAGGTTTGCTTCAAATGTGTTGGCTTTTAGGAGCAAGTTAAAATGGTGTAAAGACTATCTAGAGGTATTTTAAGGACATGTATTATTTTATTTTGATGTGGCTAATACTTGTGTTTTTTTTTTAAGCCTCTGAAGTAGTTGTAGTGAAGATGAAGGAATTATCTGAAGAAATCACCACACTCATAAAGAATCGCTTTGTTCTCCAAATATGGGATATAAAGGCTCAAAGGGAATTTGGCAATGCTTACTTCCATGAACCAGAACCAAAGGGGTAGTTTTCTTCTCCTTCCATAGGTGGCCTTTGGTATTCACAAATTTCCATAGTTAATTAAACTTTCCCTAGCAACAACAATGGGGGAGAAAGTGTATCTGTGTTTTGTCCAGTGCATCATGATGTCAAGGTGGTGAGCAGGGATCCAGGTAATTGGGCCTTCCTGGTGTTATGTGGCAGGGCACATGCCGTAATTAATTTTGAGTAAAAAATGATTTGTTTTGTTACCTGGAACTCAGCCTCAGTTTCATGTGTGGATGAAGATTATTTCAATTTCTCACCCTGCTTATTTCCAGTTAAAAGTGAAATTTAGCAGGTTGAAGACTTGGAGTGGCAAGTAAAGGTCTCACCTTAGACACAATATCCAAAAAACTCAGGAATCAAGATCAGTAATATATACAAATTTTTAAATTGAGGTAAAATTCACATAACATAGAATTAACCATTTAAAAGTGAATGATACAGTAGCATGCACCGATGTGCAACCACCACCTTTATCTAGCTCCAAACATTGTCAATAATCCATAATAAATCCCTGTACCCATGAGCAGCTCCTCCTCATCCCCCCTCTTCGTATTCCCTGGCAATCACAAATCTCTCTTTGATTTGTATAAATTTTCCTATCCTATATTTCCTATCCATATATTTCATACATGTGGAATCATATAGCGTGTTACCTTTTGTGACCTTTTGTGTCTGATTTCTTTCATATATTGTAATGTTGGTGAGGCTTGTCCATGTTGTAGCATGTATCAGAACTTCATTCCTTTTTATGGCTGAATAAAATTCCACTGTATATTTCTACCACAATTTATTGATTCATTTGTTGATGGACATTTGGGTTGTTTCCACCTTTGGGCTATTGTGAATAATGCTGCTATGAACATTCACTTGCATGTACATTTTGGAACACCTTTTTTTTTTTTTTTTTTTTTTGTACCAGGGGTTGAACTAAGGGGCACTCTGAGTCACATCCCCAGTCCTTTTTTTTTATATGTTATTTAGATTTAGAGACAGGGTCTCACTGAGTTGCTTAGGGCCTCGCTAAGTCGCTGAGGCTGGCTTTGAACTCAAGATTCTCCTGCATTAGCCTCCCAAGCCACTGGGATTACAGGCCTGAGCCACTGTGCCTGGTTGTTTTTTAATTCTTGGGGGTTTATACCAGGAATCGCTGTGTTATATGGTATTTCTGTTTAACTTTTGAGGAACAATCACTAATATTTTCATGTAATATTTTTTTTAAACCAAAATCAATTTAAAAAATTAGGGCTAGCCATAGAGTGCTTGCCCAGTATGTCCAAGGCCTTGGATTTGATACTCGGCACTGAAGGAAAAAAAATCCACAGTGAACAAAATATCAAATTTTAAAATAATTGAAAAATTTAAAAATATAAAAACAGTCCTGCACATTTCTCACTCCCTTCGGTCCTGGCCCTGATACAAACATTCTCATCTAGTATACTTCCTGTTTTTACATTTTAACTTTCTAATAGTAATTTAAATATTTTAACTGCTCTATTATTTTCTTTTTTGGTAGGTTGTTTTTGTTGGCCTTTCAATTTTTTTTTTTAATACTACAAGATGTTACAGCATTATTTTGTAAGACGTTACAGGAAATTCATCTACCAAATACATGCAGAAATGAAATGAACAATTGTGGTAAACAAAAAAGAGCTTCGGGGGCCCCATTTGTGAAAATTATAGCTCAAAGATCATAAGGGGTTCCGAATGAAAAGCCCAGGTTAAAAGCTGGAATAGGTTTCAGAGAGAGAGGGATAGAAACACAGGGGGATACTTTTAATATCACAAAGGGGTAGTCTGACTTAAATGGAAGTTTTCAATTTTAATGATTAGGACTTCTAAAGTCACTTATAACAAAGTGCTTTTGCTTTGGACCAGTGGTGTATGTAAATAGGACCAGAACAGAGAGCACTTACAAAACAATAAGCTAGCCTCTCTGTTGTTGGTACATGAGGTTTTTCTCTTTTGGACACTCTCCTTGAACTTTGATTCTAGCGAAGCACAGAACAGTCGTGGCATGGCTGCTTAGAATACCAGAGCAACTGAGAGACAAGAGCTCCTAGGAAGTCACTATGAATCACTCATTCAACAAATCTGTCTTAAGCCCTCAGCATGAGCCAGGCATGATGTCAGGTACAGGATATAGGGTGGAGTCACTTACCTCTTACACTTGCCTGTCTCTTGGGACAGGCAGGTTTTAAATCTATAGAGAAATAAGTTCATAATTATAATTGTGGTATGTTCAGGGAGCTGAGGGTGTCAAAGAACAAGAACAAAAGGGCTTGTGAGAGAGTATAAAATGGGGTCCTGTGACAAGCTGGAGAGTCGAGGAAGGCTATTTGGGCAAAGTGAGTAAATAGTTTACCCAGATGTGTGCCTGGCCACATAGTGTTTCAAGATGGTGGACCCAGACCTAGGAGACCTAGTGGGGATGGCTTTCCCTGATGATGCAGTTGGTTGGATGGTGATACTGTTTTAGTGACCGTGTTGTCATCCACTTGCTGTCAGCCTCAGCCTATACTTCATTTTGGATTGAAGTATAGTTTGGATTGAAGCTGAAGAGATTTTTAAATTTTTTTCCTCATAAGCCATCTAGTGCCAATTTTTTGGGGGGGAGGAATAATGGGGATTGAATTCAGGGGTGTTTGACCACTGAGTCTCATCCCCAGCCCTATTTTGTATTTTATTTAGAGACAGGGTTTCACTGAGTGGTTTAGTGCCTCACTTTTGCTGAGGCTGGTTTTGAACTTGCAATTCTCCTGCCTCAGCCTCCTGAGCTGCCGGGATGACAGGCATGTGCCACTGTGCCTGGCTTAGCACCAATCTTAATGATCACTTTTGCTACTTTATTTCTTACTTTGCACTGTTTTTTTTTTTTTTTTTGAATAGGTCCTAGTTCCATGCAGATCTAGCCTCTGTTAAGGTCAGTGCTAGACATTGGCACTCAGCAGCATTGCCTCCAGCAACGAGGTTCTGCAGCTATAGGTGCTGTACAAAGTGAGGGGAGATAAGCAGAAATGAGGAAGGGAGAAAAAATACTTAGGTTTGTGATTGAGGCTCCTATAACAAATGACAGATTAACAAGAGAATAGCACACTGACTTATTTAAACTCTGTGATATGGGACCGTTTATAACTCTGTGTTTTGGGTGAAACCTGTATAGTGGGGCCATGTAAGATGCCTGCTATTTCATTTGGTAATCTGTCATCTTGCTTCAAGTGGTACCACAGGTTCCCTAGTCCTATCACACTACCTTTGGTTTTTGAGAGAGGGCTTGCTTCTCTTTTCTTTAGAATTTAGAAGCCAAACTGTTTTTTTGTTTTGTTTTTGTACTGGGGATTGAACACAGGGGTGCTTTGACCACTGAGCTACATACACCCCCAGTTCTTTTTTAAAAATTTGTAAAACAAATTTTTGCTAGGGCTAGAGTTGTAGCTCAGTGGTAGAGTGCCTGCCTAGCATGTGTGAGGCACTAGGTTTGATTCTTGGCACCACATATAAATAAATAAAGGTTCATTAACAACTAAAAAAAAGAGTCTTGCTAAGTTGCTAAGGGTCTCACTAAGTTGCTAAATACTGGCCTTGAACTTGGATCTTCCTGCCTCGCCTCCCCAATAGCTGGTATTATAGGCATGTGCCACCATGCCCAGCCTCAAATAGTGTTCTTGAAGGGAGCAAAGATACTGCTTGTTTGGTTGGATTTGCTATTCTAACATCTACCATTCTCTACCTATGATAGTTAAAGTTCATTCTGAAACCCCTTAAGAACATTTTCAGGTAATGGTTACTTTCTGCATTTAAAGGAGAAAAAATAAGTCACTAGTGTTTTACTTCAATATCTTGTCTTTGATTCAGGCATAGTTTAGAAAACACCCAGATTCCCTGACAAGCATCAGATAAAAGCTACTGTTGATCTGAAAATTTGTCCCTTCTAGTCATTAGGACTAAACAAAATGAAACCTTTAAATTAAGAAGTGTTGAAACCCATGGATAATTCAGTTCACCACCACCATCATCATTATCATCATCATCATTATTATTTGCAGTGCTGGGGATTGAACCCAGGGCCTTGCACATACTAGACAAAACACTTTTTATAGCTGAGCTACACCTGCAGCCCTATTCACAGCCCTATTCCCCTTTGTGTGGGATACAAAGGTAACTTATAGCCCTGTCTGCGTTCAGAGAAATTCAGTCTGGCATGAGGGACAGGTAGAGACTCAAACATGAGTGGCATCTGTTTCTCAAGAGTGCTTCAGTAGAGAGAATAATGGCATGGCGTCTTACTGAAGAAGTGACCACATGGACGTCAGGTTTTCTATGTTACTGAGGGAAGCAGTGCACAAGAATGATTGGCTTCAACCAAGGATATAACTGGGTAGACTGGTGGAATTGTGACATGTTTCATGAAAGGATTCTATAAAAATAATAGCAGGACTTTCAGCTGTTGAACAAACAGTAGGAAATGCAGTCCTGATCTGAAACTGGGAACTTTAAAAATTTTCAGATTGCACCACAACCCTTTTTTATACCTCTCTTGATTCCTGGCTATTTTTGGCTTGATAGTAAATAACTATACATTAGTATGATTCTTTTCTAATCTGAAACAGAATAAAGGTAACCTAGGAAGCCTGTAGCAGGCTGGGATTCTCTGATGTTAATGACCCAATCAAAGTTGTTTTAAAATGTCAGTTAAGGCAAACTGTAATTGTGGAGCAGAAAATCCTTCAAGTGTCTATGTAAATGATGTGCTTCTTAATTTAGAAGTGATATTTAATGTCTGTTGGAAGTTTCTTTTACATTTGACATGTAGTCTGGGTTGCTTGGTGCAAAAAAAGAACTCTCTCTCTTATTCCATACTCCATGTTTTGTAGCTGGTCCCATGAAGTAGGAAGCTTGGTGTCTGCTATAGACTTGAATATGTGTGTCCTCACCCCCAATTTGTATGTTGAATCCTAATCTCCATTGTGATGGTATTTGGAGGTGTGACTTTTGAAAGTAATTAGTGGTGAGTGTGAGGCATTAGTGCCTTTATAAGAAGAGAAATGAGAACGATTGCTCTCTCTACCATGTGGAGGATATAGGGAGAAGGTGGCCGTCTGCAAACCTGGATGGGAGTCCTCACCAGACACCAGATCTGTTTTGATTTTGGACTAAAGAGACTCCAGAACTGGAGAAATAAATTTCTGTTGTTTAAGCTACCTAGTCTCTGTTATTTTTTGTTACAACAGCCCAAAGTAAGACACTATCCAATCCAGAATACATAGTTAGTATGGAGTGTGTGTGTGTGTGTGTGTGTGTGTGTGTGTGTGTGTGTGTGTAGTAACTTCTCTTTATTGGATAGAAGAATACAAGGTCAAGAATAACCTTAACTTCTGTTTTGTATGTTGCAAACGGAAAACTCACCAAAAAGCTAGTAACCAAAGCCCCACTTAATCGAGAATAGACACCTTTACGTTCGAGAGAGATACGGTTTCATCTTCAGATAGGATAACACTGTGCCAGACAAAGGCCAACTGCCTGGCCAAGATGGCCGTTGTTATGGTTTGGATGTGAGGAGTCCCCCAGAAGCTCACATGTGAGATACAGCAAGAAGGTTTGGAGGAGAAATGATTGGGTGATAGCCTTAATTGAATCAGTGAATCAATCCCTGATGGGATTAATTTAGTGGTAACTGGAGGCAGGTGGGGTATAACTGGAGGAAGTGGTTAATTGGAGACATGGCTATGGGGTATTTATTTATTTATTTTAAAATGGTTTTTATTTTTATTTTTTTTTTAGTTGTAGAT